TGAACCTGATTATTTGTCATTTTCTTGTTTTCATTAAAAAAAAAGTCACAGAAAACAAAAGAAGAGTTAGCTGTCCTGGTTTGATAATTGAAGAGCCAGACAGCATTCATGGACTAGACTTTTAGTTAGGAAGGGAATAGACCATAATTTCTGAGCTCTCCCGGTACTGATCAACCACACAGACATGGTATCTCCTCCTAACTCTGTGTCCCCAGATGCACATAGAATGTTTTCAGATAAGTAATGCTGCAAGATGAGCCCTGTGGCCTTGGATCCAGACTGCAATGTCCACTCTTATTACCAGGAGGCAATCTGGTGCAGTTAACAAATGGCTTTGGAGTAGGAGTGTTTGGGTTTCCCGCCTAGTTGTGCTCCTTTCTAGCTGGGTGACCTTACATCAGTTACTTTGGGCCTTAGGATTTCGAGGGTCGCCTCTAGTTTCAAATCTGCAAGGTACCTTCTGCTGTTCATCCAACCTTCTTTTTTTTGCCTGAGTAACTTTTCTGGTGCTTTCTCCCTAATCCCTCGATAGGAAATGAGAGGTAATGAGAAGGTTTATAGAGAACTTTGTTGAATTTGAGAGTTCAAAGGGCCCTCAGCAAAGACTTAGTATAGCCCATACTGACGATTCCCCACTCTAACACACCTGATGAGAAGTTGTCTCATTTGGGCTTGAAGGCCTTTAATGAGGGGGATCCCATGCCACTTTGAGACAGATTTGATTACCAGAAAGCAGTCAGGCTGGTTGTAGACAAATGGAGCCTCTACGGTGGGACAGTGACAGTCACGGACTAACAACTCGGATCCTTCATACTTAGGTTATTGACACTAAAAAAAATTGTATACTGTATAAATGTGGATCTTTGGGAAAGAGTAATAAGCAACAGCAAGTCATAAGCCCATCCCCCAGGCTTAGACTCCTATATAACTGCTTTTTACCTGAGGTTATAGAGTTCAATTATATCCCAGGATAACTGGCAATGAGGTAAAGATGGCCTTTATCCCCACTGTTAAAGATACCAGGACTATCTAGGTTTTGTTGGCATCTGCGATCATGGGAAAATAGATTTATAGCTAGAAAATAGCTCAGAAGCCTTGTTATCTGTATCCCCAGCTCCTGGTCCATAATAGGCACTTCATAAAGGCTTGTTGGATGGAAATGAAACTGGATGGAGAATGTAGTTACCTTCCTAGTGTGATCTGAAATGTCTTGTGAAATGAGCTCTGGATTTGGAGTTGGAAGACTTGTTTGGAGGCCTGGCTCTGACATTTACTAGGGATGCAACTGGCGGCTTAACCCACTCAGCCTTTGTGATTCTGAGTGGGTCTTCCCTTCTTCAAAGTGGGCATAATACTACTTTCACCTTTTACCTCACAGCCTTGTTAAAAGAAAGGATGAGGTAAGCTTGATGGTGCTGTATAAATAATGGTGAGCTCATTATCGGTGTGGGGGAGGAGCGTGAGGAGCTTCTTAGGAAAATGGCTGAGAGGTTGTGTTTAATACTCACTATCCTTTTGCCACTTCAAAACATCGGGAAATAACCAATAAGAGGGGAAAGAAGAGGAGTTCTCCTGAGGAAAACTGCACACAGAAACCTGCAGAGACATTGAAGCACTAAGCAAGCCAAAAAAAGCCCTTAATTCAAAGAAGAAATACTCTGGGGGGAAAAGAATTTGAGGGGAAATCTTTAGAAGATAGAAGAAATCTTAAATCAGTCAGTCATCAAACATTTGTTAAATGCTACTAGGTGCTTGCTAGGCACCAAACTAAGGGCCCGGGCTACAAAAAAAAGAGCAAAACCAGTGTCTGCCCTAAAAGAGAAGACAAACGTGAAAATGCCTCGGTGTATGCGACACGTGTGGAGGGCTTCACTGGTTAACGCTCCTCTTCAGCATTCTAGGGGTGCCCTTGAGGGAATCTGTGTTCTTCTTCTTTATCATCATCTGCTTGAAGCTCCATTCTGGGGCTCCCCCTCCCATCAGCCACAAGCGTTTGGTGCCCCAGTTCCATTTAATCAACATCAATTAGCATTTGGTCTTCTTTTTTCATCATGTCCATCAGTCTTCTCACCCTGAAAAATAACTTTGACCTTGCAGCCCCTTCTTCTGATTGGTCAGTTCTTCCTGGAACTTTCATTTTAAGGATGTGCCAGCCATGTTCGTTCCTTCATTCCTTTCTGGGCTCCACTCCCAACTGTCCAAAAGACTTCTTTCAGCCCCATGCCCCTGGGGGGCCCTCCTACCCTCCCTCCCCCAACTTTTTGGCATCCTTTTCTGTGCTGTCTTCCTCCATGAGAATTAGTCCGACCCCATGAGGGCAAGACTTTCTTTCTTTTGCTTGTATTAGTATTCTCAGCACTAAGCACGGCGGCTGCTGCATGGCATGTGCTCAGGAAATCATTGTGACCTGCAGTTACATCTCTCCTGAAAGCTCGGAGGGACAGGGGTGCACGTCTGCCCTTCTGCCAGCTCAGTCTCTGGTTTGACACAATTTCTATAAAACATTCCCTGCCCCAAGTCCCGTTCCAAATGAGGTCTGACTGGATGCATGGAGGAGTCTACATTTCTGTTACTGCTGGACTCCATCAGGCAGGTGGTTGAGGACTTCGGTCCCTACTATGTGGCTTCTGGCCCACTCCAGTCTGGACTCAAGCTCACCCTCCTGACCTTTCTAAGCTCCAAGGCCAGAGCCATCTTCAATATCCTTCATCTCAAAGCGGGGAAAGAAGAGACAGCTGGTGAAAGAGAGTGAGGGGGCCATGCACTTCCTGCATGGAGAGGCCCTCAGCAGTCTGTCCTCCTTGTTCAAATGCCAGCCAGACTGAAAAGAGAAAGAGGCTTCCCTTTGGCTTTTGAATGCAGCCAGTCAGAAAGGCTCCTCTTCTTCATGTGGTAAGCAGACCAGAAACTATACCTGTATGTGGCCAAGTCTCCATGGGGCCAGTATCAGCAGAGCACACTGTATGTGTTCCTAAGGACTGGGCTTGTTGGCTAATTCCCTTGTTACAACCATGAGAGATAGATGGAAGGGAAGGAGTGGGGAAGAAGGCACTAGTGGCTGGATAGACTGGGAAGGTCTTGTTGCACAAGATGGGATTTGAGCTGAGGCTTGAAAGAAGCCAGAGAAATTAAGAGACAGAAATGGATCTGTAGGGTGGGATGGGGGGGCAGAACATTCTGTGCATGGGAGACAGTGAGTGCTAAAAATAAGCAGAACTCGGAGGGGTGGGGCAGGGGAGCTGGGAGAGAGGAGAGGAAAAGAACAACCCCAAGAAACTCTAGTAATTGAAAAGAACTAAGGGAGTGAAGTTAAAGAAAAATTAGGAAAGAGAATTGATGGTGTAGAATAGGAGCTAGAAAAAATGGATTATTTTCAAAGGAGTATTAAGAAGTTTTCCTTCCCATTCCAAAATATCTCCTCCTCCTCCCGACCTGAGTGCCTAAAACTACAGAGAAGGACAGAGGACACAAACCTGGTAGGGAAGGTAACACACTGGCTGGCAGAGTCAGCACGCAAACAATCCCGACAGGTGAGGGCACGGAACCACATTCAGTATGATGCCATCAGATAGGGGTGAATGATAATGCTAGTACTTCGGTGTCAAAAAACAACTTCAGAAAAACAATATAGGGGTTAGCACTTTGTTTCGAAAAGATTTGAGGGTTTTAGTGGACTGCAAATTTCACGTGATTGAACAATGTGATCTGGGAACCAAAAAAGCTAGTGTGATCTCAACCTGCATCCAGTGAAATAGAGCCCAGGAGTTTACCATGTCACTCCTCTGTCCCCATCCAACCATGTTCGGAGTTTTGTGTTTTGTTCTGGGAGCCCTATTTTAGGCAAGCTGCCAAGCAGCAGCAGGAGGGGCCCCCAAGAGAGTTCAGGGCCTTGTGTTCAGGCCATAAAAGAAGCTGAAGCAAGTGGGGATGTTGAAGTTCCCTGAGGGCAGGAACAATTCCCCCATCCCACCCTTTGCTGTATCCCCAATGCACAGTATCTGGAAAATAATTGCTTAATAAGAACTTGTGCACTGATGGACTCTTTGGCCTGGAGAAGAAGAAGGCTCAAGAGAGACAGTCGCTGTCATGCGCTATTTGAAAGGCTGTTATGTGGCAGAGGGATCAGTCTTGTTCTGTTTGACCCTACCACTGGGTAGAGAGGCTGCATCTGCCAAGGGGATTGTGGTTTGCTGCACAATCTCTGCAAAAATCCCCCCCAAAAAAAACCCCTCTCTCTGTGGGCTCTGACAGCTTCTGTTACCTTCAGTGATGTGACCTTCTTCTTCTGGAAACCAAGTCTGGAATCTCCCTGACACGTCACTGGAGAGAGTTAGCACTCAGCTAAGAAATGGCCGTGGGGATTCTCTTAGGGAAGTAAGCTCTTCTCACAGTGGAGAGTGGCAGCAAATGGACTGAATGTTGATTAAGTTGTTTCAGCCCCTCGTTTATTTAATAAAGTACAAATGGCTGCCTGGGGAGAGTCCCACCATGCCATTCCTGCCAACGACAGGAGCCCAGCACCCTGGGCTGCAGACAAGAGCATTGGTGCTTCGTGTGGCTTCAGTTACTCTAGGAATCTGGCCTTTTTGCCACTGCAAAGTAATTCCATTAATGGCATGTACTTCTCTGTGGGGAAAGAAATTGGATCTAATGTGGCTGTACAGGGCTCCCTTCCCTTCCTCTTCCTCCTTCTCCTTTTTTTCTCTCTTTCTCTCTCTCCCTCCCTCTTTCTCCCTTCTTCCCCCCATCTTCTCTCCTCTCTCTTCTCTCCTCTATTTCTCTCTCTTCCCCATTCCTCTCCTGTCTCTCACTTATTCCCTCTTATTACTTGTGGCAGCTAGCTAAGAGCATAAGAACACAAAAGACACAATTGATTTAACATTTAGGATCATTTCAGAATTCCTTCTGGCCACTTATTTATACCTAGAAACTGATATTTAAGTTTTAAACCTTCTGTTTAATTAAAAAATTTTAAAACTACTTCAGGTTCATTTCCATACTTGATTCCTCTGAAGTTATTTGTTCCCAGTGGGAAGCTGCCCACCCCAGGTCCTTGGGTCCCCCGAGGCTGCTTGGTGCCTCAGTTATTCCACGATGTGACTTCTCAGGTTGCAAACTGCTGTTCACAGAGCCTGAGCAGATAAAATGTGGACCGTGGAGAAAGAAAGCCCAAGCTTCCAGAGTCTCAGTGCCTCAGCCCAGCGGGAGCTGCCTCACTTTGAGTCACTTAATCTCTGAGTCAGGCCCTCCAGGAAACTCTTGAAAGCTCTAAGTCACAGACTCATTTCTGGGCTGTATCAGTGAAGGGAATTTCCAAGCCAAATAGACCAAAACAAAATTTAAAAATAGGCATCTTGTCTTCTAAACTAAGCAGTGAGTGATCACAGAATAGATACTTTCTGTGAGTTTAACAAAATTGGCAAAAAGAGAAGAATATAAAAGTGTGGACTATAGACTCTGTAAGGTAAGGTGGCCCTGAGTCCAGGGGCAGAGTGGTCTAAGGGAAAGAGAGAATTGGAATGAATGGGAGACTAGGAGATGAGGGTTCTCACTGTGACTCAGCCATTCGTTAAATCTGTGGCCTTAGCTAAGTCACTCAATTTAATTTGAAATTTACTAAGCACTTACCATAGTGAGAGCAGTGTGGTCTCCAGTGGATAGAGCTCTGGACATAGAGTCAGGAAGACCTGAATTCAAATCCAGCCACAGACACTTACTAGCTGTGTGATCTTGGGCAAGTCACTTAATCTCTGCTTCAGTTTCTTCAGCTATAATATTGGGGTGTTAATAGCACCTGCCTCATAAGACTATTGTGAGGATTAAATGAGTTAATATTTATAAAGCGCTTCATAAACCTTAATGGGTGGTATGAATGCTAGGTATTATTATTAGCAGCATTATTTTAAGTTGTACTTCTGACACATACTAGATATATAACCATGTACAGGTCACTTAAGCTCTTATCCCCGAAGTGCTTGCTAATCGTCAGACTCAGATGATAAATTCCAGATGTTGTACTGATCTGTACTAGTGGAGGGAATTCTCACACTGAAAGTCCCCCACACTTCTGACATCCTAGGTCCAGCTCTCTCCTGTCTCCTCCCACTCAGCATACAAAGCCCTGTGCTGAAGCTTGTGTGCAGTGTGGCTTGTTCAATTTCTTTTCCTATGTTAGGATTGCTTTAAGTAATCTAAAATCTGAATCTAGTAAATCCCATTTCCTGTTCTTGCAATCTGGGAAATTTGTATTTTTCTCAATCTTCATCCATTTCAATCAACAAACATTTCTTAAGTACCAGACACTGTGATTATTAATTGTACTGGCATAGAGTTGGGCAAAATAACTCCTAATAGTTGCTTTTATTTCTTTGTTGGTTGTGAATTCAATTTCTTCCTCTTTTGATAACTGGTAATCTGGTTTTCTTCTTTTAAAAAAATCAAATTAACTCATGGCTTATTTATCTTACTGTTTTCTTGAAAACAGCTTCTAGTTAATTCAGTGCTGTTGTTTTTTGCTTGTGATCTTGTTAATCTTTCCTTTGATTTTCAGGATTTCTATTTTGAAATTGGAGGTTTTTAATTGGTCGGTTTTCATTGACCCACTCTCACCTGTATTGATGAAATTATTTAGACATTTACAATTTTCCCTAAATACTTGATCAGCTGTACCCCACAAATTTTGGTATATTTTCTCATTGTTATCATCATTATGTTTAATAAGATTATTAATTGTTTCTATGATTTGTTCTTTTATCCACCCATTCTTTATTATTAAGTTGGTTTCCAATGAAATTTTAATCTTTGCTTCAAATGCTGTTTATTGAATACAATTTTATTTATTACTGCTTAAGTTCCATGCCATTTGCTGCATATATGCTCAATGTTGGTATTAATTCATTCCCTATGGTACTTTTTAGCAGAATGTAGTTTCCCTGTTTCTCACTCTTAATTAGGTCTGTTTTTGCTTTTGCTTTGTCTGAGGTCATGATTACTACATCTGCCTTTTTAAAATTTCAGCTGAAGCATTCTGTTTCAACCCCTTGTTTTAACTCTGTATGTATCTTTCCATTTCAAGTGTATTTTTTTAAACAACATATTGTTGGATTCTGATTTCTAATTCATTCTGCTATCTACCTCCATCTTACGGGTGAGTTCATCTCATTCACCTTCATAGTTATGATAGCTGTCTGTGTATTTACCTCCATCCTATTTTCCTAAACTTTTTCTTCTTTTTTTTTCCTCCCCCCTTTATGAGAGTCTTTTACTTCTGACTAATAACTTTATTTCCTCTTCTTTCCTTTAACTCCTTTTCCCCCCATTTCACTGTTGGGTGAGTTGTATTTCTGTGCCCAGTGGTGTGTATGGTCTATTCTTCCCTTCTTTTGTCAGTTCAGATGAGAGTGAGGTTCAAGTATCACTTCCTCCCACTGCCTCCCTTTGTTGTATGAACTCCTCTTTGTACACCCCATTTATATCCCCCATTCTTCCTCTCCTCTCCCTCCCTTCCAGAGTGTTTCTCTTCCCCAACATTTTCACTCTTCAGAAATCATAAAAACCTAACAGAATGACTCTTAGGCCTTCTGACAAACTAGACTCCCTTTAGGATTTCTGATGATAGAGAGTGGCTACATATATCATCTCCCCATATAAGAATGTAAACCATTTAACCTTCTGTAGTCCCTAATTACCTTTCCATATTTACCTTTACCCCTGTGTTTGAATTTCATAGTTTCTACTCAGCGCTCTGGTTTTTTAATCAGTAATGTCTGAAAACACTATATTCTTTTTAAGGTCCATTTTTAATCCTTAGGATTATTTTTCAGGTTTTCAGAGTATATTTTTTTCATTTTAAGTATTTATCTTTTGCCTAACAGAATATCATATTTCAAGAATTCCTCTCTTATAGTAGTTGCAGTATAGTCTTGTGTGATTCTAACTGGTTCCTTCACACTTGGACTTTTTTTTTAAACTGTTTTCAGCATTTTCCCTTTGTTTTGGGTGCTCTGAATTTTGGGCATAACATTGCTGTTTGTTTTCAGTTTAAGGTTTCTTTCCAGAAGTGATTAGATTTTTTTCCCCTAACTTTACAACTTCACTTTTTCCTCTGACTTTAATAGCACTGGGTAGATTTTTTTTTTTTTTTTGCGGGGTGCGGTTCTTGAAAAATGGTGTCCGTGATATTAGGGTATTTAAGCTTTAATAGCTTTCTAGATACATAGCTAGAAAAGAGATTCCATGGCCTTTGGGGTAGAGACTGATTTTGGTGAAGGCAGGGGAGAAGGGTCAGAGCTTGCAATTTGGCACATAGGGATACCATGTGGTTCTGCTTCCATCTGACATTGCTTAATGTCAGCCTAAATTAGCTTAAATTTTCTCTTTTCGAACTATTTTCTAGGTCAGTTTTTTTCAGCGGCAGATCTTTATATTTTTTTTTCTATTGTAAGAAATATTTAGACTTTGTTCCAACATTTCTCGGCATCATTTAGTTCTGATTGTTCCATTCCTTTCTTTTTCTCGTATGAGTCCACTATATAGGTAAAGTGTTCCACTTTGTTCTAACCTATTTATTCTCATTAGAGTTTTTTCCCCCCCCTCAGGAGCTCTAATTATATGTTTTTATCTCCTGCCTCATTTCTTCTAGCCATTCTTATAGTCCACGTGGCCAAGTCTTTTTCTGTTTTTCCTGTGAGGCTTTGCTTGTACTCACTGTGTTCTTCTGTGTACTCTTCTGGATTTACTTCTTTGGTTTCTCTTGACATTTCTTACCTATATTTGGTGTTTTGTTTACTTTCAGACTTCAAACCTTAGTGTCATCCTCACTCTCTCTCATCCTGCAGATCTAATCCGTTGCCAAATCCTTTTTCTCCCCTCATGACATTTCTTGTGCATTTTCTCTTCTCTTCACTCATACAGCTGCAACAGTAATCCAGGCCCTTGTCACATTTCATTTGGACTGCTACAATACCCTTCTAATTGATCTCTCTTTTTCAAGACTCTTTCCATCACAACCTCACCTCCATTCAGCTGTAAAGGTGATTTTTATCATCTTTTCCTGCTCACTGAGCTTTGGTGGCTCCCTATTACTTCCAGGATCAAATGTAAACATTGTTTGGCATTTAAAGTTCTTCATAACCTGCCCACTTCCAGCCTTTATAGTCTCCTAAAATCATTGCAATACTGCCTGGCCTTTTGAAATTCAACTGCCTTTTCCTTTTTGAATTGAGATGCTGCGACATTTGGTGACTTTATGTTAAATATTGATATTGGTTCATGGTGTAAGTTTCCCTGTTTATCTCTAATGATGTGAATTTTTATTTTTACTTTGTGAGCATCATAGTATGTCCAGCTTTTTTGGATTCACCTGATGCCCAGTGAATTCTCTTCTAGTCTATCATTTTCAATATGTGTATATTTATTCTTTAAATGTGCTTCTTCTACTGGACACATTATTGGGTTTTGTTTTCATGCTTGTCCTCTCATTCTCATTTTGTTGGAGCATTCAGTTATGATTGTTAGGCTTGTGTTTTCCTCTGCTTAGCTTTTATATTGCTTTATATTTGTTTTGCTCACTTCTTCCTTTAAGTTAGTACTTTGTTCCTGTGATTAGTTTTGCTTAAAATACTTTGATGCTAGTTTAATTCTCCAGGCTCCTTCCCATTTGCCAACTTTCTCCCAGATTCTTTGAATTGTTCATTTATATATTTATTCTGTTTATATATTTATTTCTTCCTCCTTTGTGTCCCTTCTTATTCCTTTTTTAGTTAAGTATTTAAAAATCTCGCCTCCTCTTTTTCCCTAAAACTTTTATTTTTTGTAATTTTCTTTTAATATACCATGTTCTGAGTTTTCCTTTGCTTTGTCTCCCTTGATATTTCTTTCGACGTTCTTGGTGTTGGAGCTTTTTTCTTGTGTTCTCTGACAGTGTCACTCCCTTTTTGGTCTTGCACTTTCCACCAGTATACCAGTGGCTGTGGTGGGCCATTAGTGGCTGAATTCATCCTCCTTTCATTGAGTTTTAAGGGTTGACTGGTTGGGATCTCCAGTAGTCTTAGGGAAGAGAGGAATTGCCCCATTCTTCTGGTTTTTTTGTATTCCCTTTCTCTCGGGTCTGGTACATATCTCCAGTCTGCTCTGTTCTTCTTTTTCTTTCCTTCATGTAGCTGGATCAAATCAGCATTTGCCACTTCTTACATGGTGAGTGGGGAGGAGAGGCCAAGGATATGGGT